TCGTTCAATCTCAGCTGTTCGTCAGTTATTAGTTAGTCAGTTATGTCAGTTATTTGCTGTTGTATTGCCGATTTTCATTCGTTAGCTTTAAATTCATGGTAACGAAATAAAATGACAAACGTGTATCAAATAAATCTGCTCACCTGCAATTTATAATGGGGCAATGTGGTCACCTTCATTCACGAAAGTTCGTTCAATCTCAGCTGTTAGTCAGTTATTAGTTAGTCAGTTATGTCAGTTATTTGCTGTTGTATCGCCGATTTTCAAAATGCAAATGATCTGTTTACTTTATTTTCAAAGAATAGTTTGTTTTGTTATTGTTTGGTTGGTGTCTTATATGAAACTGCGACATTGCGCAATTTATTGGACAGACTTGTTTAAGATCACACAGCGTAATTTGGGTGGCATTTTATTTCGTATTTTTAAATCATCTTTTTATTTTGGACAATATCTGTAAATTTAGTTTCCTGCTCTTAATTGGGAATACATACTTGATGGTTTTAAATGCTCCTGAAATTAAGTGCTGCTTGACCAGCCTATATTGTGTATGTATGTGACGTCACTGAAGGCCTGAGGTTGAAATGCACGGCCCGCCACTAGGCACCCACTTGAGTGACTTTAGGGGGTACTGTACAACAGCTTTCTGTCTGCACTAATGGAGGTGGAGTTACTCACGTCAAAGCCATTCCAACAGTGACCTCCCATCCCACCCTAACACTGAACATTAGTACCACGCAATGCGTAAAAACACCTCGTCGCTTCTCGCCAGGCAATTCACATTTTATCGCGAGCGGCAAGCTTTCCTTGAAAATTGTGTCGAGGCGAAACATGTCGACGAAGCGACCGGTTACCTTGCTGGGCACCGCGGCCTTCGGAGGCCGGGCGGACGCCGAGCAGAGTCTGGAGATGGCCAAGATCTTTCTGGACCGCGGACACAAATGGCTCGATACTGCATTTATGTACACGGACGGAAAGTCAGAGGCCATCATGGGGGGCATGAACCTCCTCAAAACAGGTCGAGTAAATTACAGCTCGTTTCAAATACTATTCGTCTTCTGATGATTTCTTTTTCGTATGCTGGAACCAAACGTAGCAAAAATAAGTCAAACCGAGACACTGCACATTTCCCTTTTGTTTGTATATAGTGCCTGTATTTGAAAATACAGGCACCATAGCCATGGCGTTTACACGAACCTGCTGATAACTTTAAAAACAATACACATCAGTGTACAGGACGTTTTATAATTAAGTATTTTCATGTAATTGCCCAGGGGACGGACATGGAACGAAATTGGTTGAATGGCCCATTTAAGCATGACCACACAATGAGGGGTTCCTCTGTTTGATACATTGGATTTATCTAACGGAAAAGAACACATTAACATCGATTCAAAACCAGTTGGGAACAAACGTACCAAACAATTTACACGCCTTGCACTTCTAAATGAAGTTGTGTCATTTGGACGTGCCACAATCGCTAAACCGGTCTGTCGCATTCTTGGCTCTCTCAACTCTTTGACGATGCCGATGAGCCTAATTGAGGAGCTTCTCCCTCCAACCGAGCTATGAAGACAAACCCACCGCTCTGTCTCTGCCGGCATGAGAGTCGTGCGCAGTGGAAGAGACGTGCGCGTGTCACGCTCACTGCATCACAGAAATTCTGAAATCTAAAGTTCAGTTACTATCGTTCTATTGGAGGACACGATGTTTGCACAATTGAATTATTTTGTCGCATTTGTGGACTTAAAACGTTCAGAAAAATCATAAAACCCGATCTTTTTCAGCCAATAACGGATCCGCAAAAATGACACGATTAGTCCCGATTTGCGATCAAATGGTCGCATGGGGACATCCCCGCTATGAACCCCTGCATGAACAAATGTAAAACACGACTGGAAATTGCTTATGCAACGTTTCCCTTTGGTCGTAAATGGATCTCTGGATCCAGTCAGCATTGCCACCAAGGCAAACCCGTGTCACGCTTTTGTTGCTCCCATTTTTTCAAAAGACTTTGTGGTTACGCATAATCTGCAGTAGTGAGGTTGGTATGATGGACCGGCAAATTTAAGAGCTATCTTAAGTTACACAATTCAAGCCTGTGGCATTGTATCGTCATTAAATTGCATATTTTACACTGGCCTTTTCTTGTTTATTTTAACCCAAGGCTTAAAAGATTTCCTGGACGTCAGCATGCTGTGTTATCTTAACAATGAAAGGGTTCAAATAACCTCTGCCCTGTGTTTCATAGGGGATGTACAATGCGACAACCAGACAAGTTGAGACGGAGTTGCTGCCATGCTTGAGGTACTTTGGGATGAAGTTCTACGCGTACAACCCTCTCGCAGGTGCTTTACTTTTTGTTTTGTTTTTATGGAGTCTGGCATGACCTTTTCATATCTATGGTTCTATAAAAATGCATTAACTTTGCGTATTCTCTCACTTTTGGACCCATCAAAAAGTTTGTTTTTTTTTTTCTCCGAAATGACTTGGAAAGACATAATGGAACTAGAGTTTGGATTCTCTGTCCTAGGTGGCCTTTTAACTGGCAAATATCACTATGAAGACAAAGATACCTCTCAACCGACAGGAAGATTCTTTGGGAACAATTGGGCTGCAGTGTACAGAGACAGGTACATTTCAAGCACTTTTGGGTGTCATCATTCCCAAACATTAACTTGTTTCATTAATTTGAAACTGCCCCACCCCAAAAATTTATAAATATATTGATGCTTGGTATGGGAGATGTTGCATCTTTATTTTTGGAAAACAAGGAAAAATATCTCCTCAACCACAGAGCATAAGACATTTATTGGGGGGCCTTTTTTTGTATTTTTGTCTTACCACCAGTGTTTATATTTACAGTATTATATTTTTCAAATATTTTACTGTTAATTATTTTTAACGATTTACGACTTTAAAGATACCTTTATTTGCACCTTTTTTCTTTATTAATCTTCTCATCAATTTTCTACATTTTCCGGATTATTAAATGTTTTGATTATTCTTATTTTTGATTTTCTTAATTCATATTTTTGATTTACATTTTGTGGCAACACAAAAATATTTACTTGTAATTTTAAAGAGAAGTTGTATTTTTCCCCCCATTTACTAGTACTAGTAAAGATTACATTTTTGTTCCTTCAATTTGTTTGCAATATTAAAAAAACTGTCAATCGTGTGACTGACTCCCTGTGGCAACCCAAGTCATAATATTTTTTAAAACGACATTACCGTATTTGGAATAAATGTGTTTTTAAACCCATCATTCACAAGTGTGTGTTTCTCTCTCTATTGATAGATAGATGGATAGATTGAGACACACTTGTGGCAAAAATTAACCGTTGCTACTTTAAGAGGAAATATTTGATTCTAATTAGGAATGAATTGAATTTGTATTGTGTGTAGGTACTGGAAGCAGAGTCACTTCCAAGCCCTAGAAGTGGTCCAAAAGGCCTTGGAGGGGGCATACGGCCCGACGCCGCCCACTCTGTTGTCTGCCGCCATGCGCTGGATGTACCACCACTCCCAGCTCAAGGTGCCACTGACACACGTGGATCAATACGGCCACAGCTAACGGACGATGGCGTTGTTCCAACGTGTCTTGCTTGTTTGAAGGGGGACCTCGGCGACGGCGTCATCATCGGCATGTCCACAGCGGAGCAGCTCAGACAGAATCTGGCTGCCGCGGAGGAAGGTCCTCTGGATGAGAGGGTGGTGAAGGCTTTCGGGGACGCTTGGAACCTGGTGGCTCACGAGTGTCCCAACTATTTCCGATAGATGACGCAGAATGAAAAGTTGGGGATGATGGGCTCTCGGGTGAAATTTTCTTGCTTGTTTGAAGGGGGACCTCGGCGACGGCGTCATCATCGGCATGTCCACAGCGGAGCAGCTCAGACAGAATCTGGCTGCCGCGGAGGAAGGTCCTCTGGATGAGAGGGTGGTGAAGGCTTTCGGGGACGCTTGGAACCTGGTGGCTCACGAGTGTCCCAACTATTTCCGATAGATGACGCAGAATGAAAAGTTGGGGATGATGGGCTCTCGGGTGAAATTCGGAAAATTGACCTCAAATGCACGAGAAGCGTTTCACTTTGACCTTCTGTAAGTGGATGCGCATGTCCGACTGTTTATTGTTTCCTGAAAGTATTTTGGGGGGGGATAATTATGGAATGACCTTTGTAGGACTTCATAAACGTTCCAACTCCTACTCTGATCAAACCTAATTTGAATTTGCACACACATTTTACTCCCTTCCCCCTTTAATTCTCATTTTGTTGTAAGATAAATTGTACAGCACACACAGTCTATTTTTCTAAAATGGATGACACTTCATTTTCAGATTTTCACTGTGAATTACTTGCTTAGTTGGTACATGTTATACAAAACATTTCTCCATAAGTAATTTTCTGAGCAATATTTCAGACCAGAGCTAAAGTCAACTTGAAAGATGTCAGTCCATGTATTTTGGGATTGGGGGGTGCAGACGATTTCAAAATCCCGATGTGAAGTTTAAAAATTAAAAACAAGATGAAGAAACAAACAAAAACCTGCACAGTCTTATTTCAATCTCCATCCTCTTCTCCAATCTCTTTGTTGTCCTGCATAGGCTCTTCCTCGCCCTCCAAGATATCAAACGTGCCTGTTTCAGAGCTCCACATGCATTTGATCGTCACTCGGAACTCTGCCATCTCAATACCCAACAATTTCTGTGAACAAAAACAACACATCTTTTTTTTCCATTTCTAAAAACAAATGTAAATCCATGAACTCACCAGAATACAGTTGTGTAAAATCAATAAAATTATAGACCCAGATGTCAAAACTACTACGCATCTAGGAGGGGTCAGGCACTGACAGTGGCTTGCAAAAGTCCACTCCATTGAACTTTTTGCGACATTTCAGGCTCAAACCGATATAAAGTTGCTTTGAATTTCTATTTGTGTTTGAAAACGGTATGGAGGCTCGATCAAATGCTTCTATAATGTATAAGACCCAGGAGTCACAGGTAGCCCCACTCGTGATGGAGATGATCAGTCCAAAGCTACGCTGTTTCCCTGAGTGTCAAAAAACTGTCGGTGAGTTTCCATTAGAGATGGACCAAATACGAACAAAAGCACGGTAACTTGCATGCAGGGCTGTTAAGTGGCAATATGCAAAGAAAAACTCGGTCCAAACGCAAGGATACCTGCTTCTCCCTGGAGCTCATTGGGCATTTTCCCTCGTAATTGTTCATCAAAGGAAAGTAATTTGTACCTTGAACGATATTATTGCTTCAAATCAAAATGGCCAACTGCATACAGTCATTTCGACTTTTTCATGCAATGTCAGACTCCGTTTAAAAAAAAAAAAACTGCAGACATGGAACGCGAAATTAATACATTTTGAACCATAAAGGTGAAAAGGTCATGTCAGATTCCATAAAAACCAAAAAAGTAAAGCACCTTCAAGAGGGTTCTATGCGTAGAACTGTTAGGTTAATGCTGGTAATTTGACGCTAAGAACACATCAGGAACAGGAAGACTCAGGAGGCAGGCATGGTTGTCTTTCTTGCAAGAGAGAGTGCGCTAAAACATGTCTCGGTTCACAATCTTGGAGCAGCTTTCCAGTTGGCTCTGCCATGTTAACCGTTACAGGTTCCGGTGCAACTCTGAAGAGACCACGTTTGTCTCCTTGCATTCATTGAAAGGATGTCCCTGATACACGATCTTCTAATGGGTGTGGGGAGTATTTTCACATTCCACAACAGTTTCAGTCAAGGAGAGTTTCAATGAGAACACGCAGTTCATTCCTGAGGTGATCGGACGGCTCATGCTGGACGTCGCGAACACAGCTTGGGATGTCCTTCACATGGTGTCCTGGGGTTGATGTTACCTTCTCACAAGCAACAGTTAATTTGATCCGAAGCCGTGAACTTAACAAAAAGATATTATCTTAAAAGCTAGAACAGGAGCAGCCTGAGCTCTCCCGGTCCGACAAGTCTCCCATTATCAACCTACCCCATTGACTATGAGGTATTTGTGAGGTTTCACTCTGAAACAGGTTTTAAAGTTACACAGAGAGTAAATATGGGATAACAGAATTAGATTTATTCCAACAAGAACTTCATCCCAAAGTACCTCAAGTATGGTCGCAACTCCGCCACAACTTGTCTGGCTGTAGCATTGTACATCCCTTTAAACCCTTTCATTATTAAATTAGTTTAACACAGTATGTCGACGTTTATAAAAAAAAAAAAAGAAAGTGTATGACAGAGCCAATAAAAAAGTGACACTATCTTTTAGGTAGCAAGACACCCTTGCACAAAATGGAAAAAGGTGGAACACTTTGTTGAACCAAAAAGAGGAGTGTCGGTGCTATTCCGGTGCACCTTTGAGGCCAGCGTAACGACGAGTCTTGAACGCAAACAACACGACATTGACCTCTTTGTATTTTCTGTTTATTAGGAAATAAAGTATACAAAAAAGGTTCTCTTCAGTTTGTCTAATTCGTATGTCTGAATTATATGTCGATTGTATATTTTTTTAAAACGACATTACCGTATTTGGAATAAATGTGTTTTTAAACCCATCATTCACAAGTGTGTGTTTCTCTCTCTCTTGATAGATAGATAGAGACACACTTGTGGCAAAAATTAACCATTGCTACTTTAAGAGGAAATATTGGATTCTAATTAGGAATGAATTGAATTTGCATTGTGTGTAGGTACTGGAAGCAGAGTCACTTCCAAGCCCTAGAAGTGGTCCAAAAGGCCTTGGAGGGGGCATACGGCCCGACGGCGCCTCCTCTGTTGTCTGCCGCCATGCGCTGGATGTACCACCACTCCCAGCTCAAGGTGCCACTGACACACGTGGATCAATACGGCCACAGCTAACGGACGATGGCGTTGTTCCAACATGTCTTGCTTGTTTGAAGGGGGACCTCGGCGACGGCGTCATCATCGGCATGTCCACAGCGGAGCAGCTCAGACAGAATCTGGCTGCCGCGGAGGAAGGTCCTCTGGATGAGAGGGTGGTGAAGGCTTTCGGGGACGCTTGGAACCTGGTGGCTCACGAGTGTCCCAACTATTTCCGATAGATGACGCAGAATGAAAAGTTGGGGATGATGGGCTCTCGGGTGAAATTCGGAAAATTGACCTCAAATGCACGAGAAGCGTTTCACTTTGACCTTCTGTAAGTGGATGCGCATGTCCGACTGTTTATTGTTTCCTGAAAGTATTTTGGGGGGGGATAATTATGGAATGACCTTTGTAGGACTTCATAAACGTTCCAACTCCTACTCTGATCAAACCTAATTTGAATTTGCACACACATTTTACTCCCTTCCCCCTTTAATTCTCATTTTGTTGTAAGATAAATTGTACAGCACACACAGTCTATTTTTCTAAAATGGATGACACTTCATTTTCAGATTTTCACTGTGAATTACTTGCTTAGTTGGTACGTTATACAAAACATTTCTCCAACCAAATAAGTAATCTTCTGAGCAATATTTCAGACCAGAGCTAAAGTCAACTTGAAAGATGTCAGTCCATGTATTTTGGGATTGGGGGGTGCAGACGATTTCAAAATCCCGATGTGAAGTTTAAAAATTAAAAACAAGATGAAGAAACAAACAAAAACCTGCACAGTCTTATTTCAATCTCCATCCTCTTCTCCAATCTCTTTGTTGTCCTGCATAGGCTCTTCCTCGCCCTCCAAGATATCAAACGTGCCTGTTTCAGAGCTCCACATGCATTTGATCGTCACTCGGAACTCTGCCATCTCAATACCCAACAATTTCTGTGAACAAAAACAACACATCTTTTTTTTCCATTTCTAAAAACAAATGTAAATCCATGAACTCACCAGAATACAGTTGTGTAAAATCAATAAAATTATAGACCCAGATGTCAAAACTACTACGCATCTAGGAGGGGTCAGGCACTGACAGTGGCTTGCAAAAGTCCACTCCATTGAACTTTTTGCGACATTTCAGGCTCAAACCGATATAAAGTTGCTTTGAATTTCTATTTGTGTTTGAAAACGGTATGGAGGCTCGATCAAATGCTTCTATAATGTATAAGACCCAGGAGTCACAGGTAGCCCCACTCGTGATGGAGATGATCAGTCCAAAGCTACGCTGTTTCCCTGAGTGTCAAAAAACTGTCGGTGAGTTTCCATTAGAGATGGACCAAATACGAACAAAAGCACGGTAACTTGCATGCAGGGCTGTTAAGTGGCAATATGCAAAGAAAAACTCGGTCCAAACGCAAGGATACCTGCTTCTCCCTGGAGCTCATTGGGCATTTTCCCTCGTAATTGTTCATCAAAGGAAAGTAATTTGTACCTTGAACGATATTATTGCTTCAAATCAAAATGGCCAACTGCATACAGTCATTTCGACTTTTTCATGCAATGTCAGACTCCGTTTAAAAAAAAAAAAACTGCAGACATGGAACGCGAAATTAATACATTTTGAACCATAAAGGTGAAAAGGTCATGTCAGATTCCATAAAAACCAAAAAAGTAAAGCACCTTCAAGAGGGTTCTATGCGTAGAACTGTTAGGTTAATGCTGGTAATTTGACGCTAAGAACACATCAGGAACAGGAAGACTCAGGAGGCAGGCATGGTTGTCTTTCTTGCAAGAGAGAGTGCGCTAAAACATGTCTCGGTTCACAATCTTGGAGCAGCTTTCCAGTTGGCTCTGCCATGTTAACCGTTACAGGTTCCGGTGCAACTCTGAAGAGACCACGTTTGTCTCCTTGCATTCATTGAAAGGATGTCCCTGATACACGATCTTCTAATGGGTGTGGGGAGTATTTTCACATTCCACAACAGTTTCAGTCAAGGAGAGTTTCAATGAGAACACGCAGTTCATTCCTGAGGTGATCGGACGGCTCATGCTGGACGTCGCGAACACAGCTTGGGATGTCCTTCACATGGTGTCCTGGGGTTGATGTTACCTTCTCACAAGCAACAGTTAATTTGATCCGAAGCCGTGAACTTAACAAAAAGATATTATCTTAAAAGCTAGAACAGGAGCAGCCTGAGCTCTCCCGGTCCGACAAGTCTCCCATTATCAACCTACCCCATTGACTATGACCAAATCAAAAATGTAACGCCAGCTCAGTTGACTCCATCATACTCAAAAGGTTTTTCAGTGTTATATTTTTAAGGGGGTTCCGTTCCCATTTCGTGTCCCTTTTTTTTCATGGAAAACGTATATCGAACGTTTATTTGCATTTTTTTGAAGAATTATAAAATTTTTCGTTACAACTTGCCATTTATAGATTCTAGACGGCGTATTTCCCCACATGAATCTGAGTAACGTGACAGGGAACTTGTGCTAAATTAAAAGATATGTGGCACCCACAGTGGCGGACCCTGAGGGCCAGCAAGGCCTTTCCGCCACAACTTGTCTGGCTGTAGCATTGTACATCCCTTTAAACCCTTTCATTATTAAATTAGTTTAACACAGTATGTCGACGTTTATAAAAAAAAAAAAAGAAAGTGTATGACAGAGCCAATAAAAAAGTGACACTATCTTTTAGGTAGCAAGACACCCTTGCACAAAATGGAAAAAGGTGGAACACTTTGTTGAACCAAAAAGAGGAGTGTCGGTGCTATTCCGGTGCACCTTTGAGGCCAGCGTAACGACGAGTCTTGAACGCAAACAACACGACATTGACCTCTTTGTATTTTCTGTTTATTAGGAAATAAAGTATACAAAAAAGGTTCTCTTCAGTTTGTCTAATTCGTATGTCTGAATTATATGTCGATTGTATGTCGATTGTATGCTCGGAACTCTGCCATCTCGATACCCAACAATTTCTGTGAAAAAACAAAAAACATTTCCATTTCTAAAAACAAATAGAAATCTTGCCATGACCTCACCAGAATACAATTGTGTAAAAACAATAAAATTATATACCCAACTGTCAAAACTACCACGCATCTAGTCGAGGACACGCACTTACAGTAGCTTGCAAAAGTATTCACTCCATTGAACTTTTTGCGACATTTCAGGCTTCAAACCAAGATATTTATCCCCCCACCCACACACACAAAAATCACCAGCAAGCGTGAAACAATTGTGAAGCGGAACAAAATTCTGATCATTCTACTTCATAATTGTGTTCTACTTGCTGCTGATTCGTCTCCCCAAAAAAATCCAACCTGTCTTTTAAGTTTGATGCTGGCATTGTGGCAAACGGTCAAACAGTTAGAGAGGGCTGAATATTTTTGCAAGGCATTGCAGTTGTTAGGAGGCATACATGTCTGGGAGTATTAATGTATGCTCTGTTGGAATGTGTACTAACACTGTCGAAATTGTGCAAAGTTTAACTACAGCAGGATCAATCCTCGTGTCCTTAGTCCGTCCACTAATGGACTTTTGGTCCACAATTACTTACGAAAATAATTCATAAATCTCTATTTTGTATTTCAACTTAAACTGAGTTTTACAAACAGCTTGACACAACCATTTGGCCTCTTTTTTTGAAGACTCGTACACTTTCTACTTCTTATTAGAACGTTTGCTGCCACCATCTGGTGCTCCTAACTCCAATTTTTGCTCCCAACTGAGGACAATAATTCGACCGAGCAACAGCTCCTATCTTTAAAAACTCCTAAGTTGGGTCGCTTGTTCGTCAGGGTAAGACATATTACTATTTTAACCATTATTTACAAGTGATACTTTCTTGTATACAAGTCATCTTTAGTGAAGATACCAGGAGGCATGTTAGGTTGTGATTTCAGCAGCAACAAGTGGTTTGGTGTAAGAGGTTCGAGGTCATTTGCATCGTCTGAGATGGTGGTAAGTGGTCTTCCGTTAATGATGCTCTCAACTTCGCACATCATCGTCTGGATACAATCGTCGCTCATGGCTTGCTCTTTCGTGATAGAACTGAGAATTCTTCTGACTGTTCGAATCTGCCTCTCCCAAACACCGCCTTGATGAGAGGCTGTTGGGCTGTTGAATATCCACTTAATTTCTTTTGGTTGAAAAGCTCTTGCAATTTTGTCAGAGTCCAGCTTCTGAATCGCTTCTCTCAATTCTCTTTCAGCGGCCACGAGATTCGTGCCGTTATCAGAACGCATGGAGGCAACTTGACCTCTGCGGCATACGAAGCGTCGAATTGCATTTATGCAGGAGTCTGTATCAAGGCTGTCTGCAACTTCTATATGTACAGCTCTCAGCGTGAGGCAGGTGAACAGCACGCCGTATCTCTTGACTGTAGTCCGACCTCGCCTTACGTCGAAGGGTCCAAAAAAATCAACACCAGTATTTGTAAACGGGGGTTTATCTGGCAGGAGGCGATCTTTGGGTAGGTTCGCCATCTTTTGTTCTCCAACCTTTCCAGACATCCTGCGGCATACGATGCACTTGTTAATTATCCTTCTGATTGCGGAGTTGGCTTGCGGGATCCAAAACTTGCGTCTTAATTGTGCCAGTACATAACTGCGCCCAACGTGTCCCGTCCTTTGGTGGATATCTATCAGGATCAGCTCTGCAACTCTACTGTGTTTCGATATAATCGCTGGGCATTTGGTAGTTTCTGGCATTGCTGACTTGTTGAGCCTTCCGCCAACCCTCAAAATGTTCTGTTGAAGTATGGGATCTAATTTAAACAACTGACTGTTACGGTTGACTTGCTTGCCCTTTTGTAACGCTTGAAGTTCTTCACCGAACTGTATTTTCTGGCTGTACTGGATTACCTCCAGCTCTGCGGCGACCAAATCATCTAGTGTAAGTGGTTTCTTTTCCATTTTTGCTCTGTATTTCTTCAAGCCATTTTCCAATTTTGCTTGACGCTGTTCAGGGTTCTTTTCATTATGGTTCACATACGCTGACAACGCCTTTCTTTCGTCTTTGAGTTGTCGCAAAGTCTTTCTTAATTTCAATATCCAGGCTACAGCTCTCTTCAGTCGCTGCCATTCGGAATAATGATCGATAAGTTTCTGCATTGGTCCTACTACATCTTCCACGTTGATCACGTTAACCGTTGCCACGTTCTTCACCTCAGGATCGTCTTGCAGTTTTTCTTTTCTTTGCATGGGTTGTGCAGGCCAGTCGCATTTGTCTTTGAGTAGGAAGCTTGGTCCGTCAATCCATGTTTGTGATTGTGTCAAGTTTCTGGCTTTCATGCCTCTGCTTGATAGATCCGCTGGGTTTTCTGTGGTCTTTACATACTTCCACTGAGAAGGTTTGGTGGCTTCTCTGATTACGTTTATTCTGTTTGCCACGAAGGTTTTAAAACGGGAACTATCGTTATCGATGTATCTGAGCACCGTAGTGCTATCAGTCCAAAAGGTAGATGGCTGCAACGGAATTTGGATTTCTTGGCGAAGCATCTTGTCTATCTTTACGGCGACCACTGCAGCAGTTAACTCTAATCTGGGGATAGTGACCTGTTTGAGTGAGGCCACTCTTGACTTGCCCATCACAAGTGAACAACATTTCTGTCCTTGCTTGTTCTGCAGCAGTAGATAGGATGCTGTACCGTAGGCGTACTCTGAAGCGTCTGAAAAGTGGTGCAGCTGTGCTGAAACTGCATGTCCAAAATTTGCAGGTTTTACGCACCTGTTTACTTGGAAGTTGGAGAGGTGTGAAACATCTTCTTTCCATCTATTCCAAGCCTCTGCATGCCTGTTACTGATGGTTTCGTCCCATTCATGTTGCTCTTTACACAGCTCTTTCATCAGGAGTTTAGCAGGCAAAATGACTGGAGCAGGCAAACCAAGGGGGTCGTAGATTGAATTAACGACTGCCAAGATTCCTCTTCTTGTCATTGGTTTGTCGGGCAATTTGACACTGTAGACAAAGGTATCTGTTTCTGTGTCCCACTGTATGCCGAGTGCTCGCTCCACCGATAGAGTTTCATAGCTGAGATCCATGTTTTTCTTTTGACCTCTGTGTTCTTCGGGTATTGACATAAGCACCTTTCTGTTATGACTTGTCCATTTAGTCAATGTAAATCCTCCTTTAGCACACAAGATGCGAAGGTCTTTAATTAGCGTCACAGCTTGGTCTTCGGTAGCGACACTTCTCAGGCAGTCATCGACATAAAAATTGTATAGGACTGTTCGCACAGCTTCTGGTGAAGTCGTGATTTGGTTATCCCTTGCAGTCCTTTTCAGTGCATATGATGCAATGCTCGGTGAGGAAGTGGCACCAAAGAGGTGTACCGTCATTCTGTACTCTGCCAATGGTTCGTTCAACTTGCCATCGGGCCACCAAAGAAATCGTTGGAGGTCTGCGTCGTGTTCAGGGACCTTCACCTGATAAAACATCGACTCGATGTCAGCCATCATCGCAACTGGCTCCTCACGAAATCTTATGAGGACACCAATTAAGGTATTGGTCAGGTCAGGGCCTTGCAGCAGTCTACCATTCAGAGACTGGTCTTGAAAAGATGCTGCACAATCAAAGACCACTCGTATTTTTCCTTTCTTAGGGTGATACACCCCGTGGTGTGGTATGTATGATAATCTGCCATCATCCCTGTTCATCTGATCAGTTGGGACTCGAATGGCATATCCCTTTTGGATTACAGTATCCATGAAGGCCTTGTAGTCTTCATAGAACTTTGGATCCTTTTTGAGTTTCCTCTGCAAACTAACCATGCGCTGTTCTGCGAGACATCGGTTGTTCGGCATTGGCAGTTTGTCATTCTTGAGTGGCAATCCAATGCAGTAGTGTCCGTTCACGAAGGTAGTTGTTTTATCCACAAACTGCATGAACTGCTTGTCGTCTTGAGACATTTCTTCTTTGTCATCGTAGTTACGCTCTGGGAAATCAGTGTTGTACTGTTGTACCAGTAGCCTTTCAATTTCCATCACTGTGATCCTATTCACTGAACTGTGATGTTTGTTGTCATCGCCTTGTGGTTCTTTTCTTAGGAGGCCATTCACGACCCAGCCAAGAGCAGTCTTCACCGCATAGGGTCCTCCGTTTCGACTGTTTATAACGTGCCATGGTTCCATTGCTCTTGGACAATTTGCTCCAATAAGCAAGCCAACATCCGCTTTTATTTCTGGCACTCGCACTTCCTGAAGATAGGGCCACTTCCGTATTTCTGATGGCTTGGGGATGTTTCCGTTGTGCACTGGTATACTACCATGGGTGTACGTCTTGGGTAGCTCAATGAATCTGTTTTCTTCCAGGCCACATACCTCCAAGTCTGATATCACATAACTGTTTGTGCACTTTGGTCCTTCTGATTCTTGGCTCAAGGTGCTCAAGAGTATTTGGGTTGGTTTCCCTTTAACGTTTAGTTTTTTGCGCAGGGCTTCTGTGATGAATGTTGCCGTGCTTCCCGGATCCATGAAAGCATATGTTTCGATGTGCTTGTCGCTCTTTCTCGATTTGATTCTCACTGGTATAATTGACAGCACGCAATCACTTTCACCGGCCCCGGTGAGGCAAGCTGCCTCTCGTTCTACTGTAGCTTGAGGGCTTGAATGTTCTTGAGCATCATTTTCCTGGGAGGCCAAATCTTCTTCTTTAACTTTGTGTAGAATGTCTGGGTGTTTTAAAGCACATTCCTTACACTCTGTTCTTTTCTTGCAAAACTTACTAATATGACCCATAGCCAAGCATCCGAAGCACAAGCCTTTCGTTTTCAAAAACTCCACTCGGTCTTTGAATGGCTGATTCTTGATCTCGTTGCATGTGGCAAGAGTGTGAGCTTGCTGGCAGTACATACATGGCTTGTCAAAGGCACTTCCTCTATTGTCTGGGTTCGCTAACTTCTCATTCTTTTCTTTGGTCTTTCCTGTGGAAACGTTCGTTGCAAAACTTCCACGCTTTTCTTTTTTGGCAGGGGGTCTTTCATTGCTATTTTTTCCAATGGCTTTGGGGCGACTGTCTGGGATGTCACCAAAGAGGGGGTCTGTCGCTATTTTGGCTTGACGCTCTATGTAGTTCACCAAGTCGGCAAACCTTGCTCTTTTGCCTCGCCGCTCTTTGATATAGTAAGCTTCAGCACGCCAATGTTCTTTCAGTTTGAAGGGCAACTTGGACAATGCAGTACGCAAGTTGGTGGGGTTGTCCATTTCTTCCAGTGACTCTATGTCCTCCATTGCGTTGCGACATCCAATTAGAAACATTGCATAGGCATTTAGTGCCTTTCCATCTTCTGACTTGATCGGTGGCCATTTTAGTGCCTTTTCAATGTACGCACTGGCAATTCGTAGTTCGTCTCCATAGTGCTTGAGTAGCAGTTTCTTTGCTTCTTTGTAGCCATGGCTAGGATGCATATGGATGCAGCTGCGGACCAACTCTTGAGGTTCGCCACTTGTAAATTGCTCCAAGAAGTACAATTTGTCTTGATCGTTGTCAGTCTTCTGCTCTATTGAATGTTCGAATGCTCGCTGCCATGCTTGAGGTACTTTGGGATGAAGTTCTACGCGTACAACCCTCTCGCAGGTGCTTTAGTTTTTCTGTTTTATGGAATCTGGCATTACCTTTTCATATCTGTAGTCCAATAAAAATGAATTAACATTTTCGTATTCTCTCACTTTTGTACCCATCAAAAAGGTTTTTTTTTTCTCCGAAATGACTTGGAAAGACATAATGGAACTGGAGTTTGGATTCTCTGTCCTAGGTGGCCTTTTAACTGGCAAATATCACTATGAAGACAAAGATACCTCTCAACCGACAGGAAGATTCTTTGGGAACAATTGGGCTGCAGTGTACAGAGACAGGTACATTTCAAGCACTTTTGGGTGTCATCATTCCCAAACATTAACTTGTTTCATTAATTTGAAACTGCCCCACCCCAAAAATTTATAAATATATTGATGCTTGGTATGGGAGATGTTGCATCTTTATTTTTGGAAAACAAGGAAAAATATCTCCTCAACCACAGAGCATAAGACATTTATTGGGGGGCCTTTTTTTGTATTTTTGTCTTACCACCAGTGTTTATATTTATAGTATTATATTTTTCAAATATTTTACTGTTAATTATTTTTAACAATTTACTAGAGACCTTTATTTGCACCTTTTTTCTTTATTAATCTTCTCATCAATTTTCTACATTTTCCGGATTATTAAATGTTTTGATTATTCTTATTTTTGATTTTCTTAATTCATATTTTTGATTTACATTTTGTGGCAACACAAAAATATTTACTTGTAATTTTAAAGAGAAGTTGTATTTTTCCCCCCATTTACTAGTACTAGTAAAGATTACATTTTTGTTCCTTCAATTTGTTAGCAATATTAAAAAAACTGTCAATCGTGTGACTGACTCCCTGTGGCAACCCAAGTCATAATATTTTTTAAAACGACATTACCGTATTTGGAATAAATGTGTTTTTAAACCCATCATTCACAAGTGTGTGTTTCTCTCTCTCTTGATAGATAGATAGAGACACACTTGTGGCAAAAATTAACCGTTGCTACTTTAAGAGGAAATATTTGATTCTAATTAGGAATGAATTGAATTTGTATTGTGTGTAGGTACTGGAAGCAGAGTCACTTCCAAGCCCTAGAAGTGGTCCAAAAGGCCTTGGAGGGGGCATACGGCCCGACGCCGCCCACTCTGTTGTCTGCCGCCATGCGCTGGATGTACCACCACTCCCAGCTCAAGGTGCCACTGACACACGTGGATCAATACGGCCACGGCTAACGGACGATGGCGTTGTTCCAACGTGTCTTGCTTGTTTGAAGGGGGACCTCGGCGACGGCGTCATCATCGGCATGTCCACAGCGGAGCAGCTCAGACAGAATCTGGCTGCCGCGGAGGAAGGTCCTCTGGATGAGAGGGTGGTGAAGGCTTTCGGGGACGCTTGGAACCTGGTGGCTCACGAGTGTCCCAACTATTTCCGATAGATGACGCAGAATGAAAAGTTGGGGATGATGGGCTCTCGGGTGAAATTTGGAATATTGACCTCAAATGCATGACAAGCGTTACACTTTGACCTTCTGTAAGTGGATGCGCATGTCCAACCTGAAAGTTTTTTTTGGGGGGGGGGTTAAATATGGAATGACCTTTGGAGGACTTCATAAAGGTTCCAACTTCTCCACTGATCAAACCTAATTTGAATTTGCGCACACATTTTGCTCCCTTCCCTCTTTAACTCTAATTATGTTGAAAAATAAATTGTTCAGCACACACAGTCTATTTTTCCAAAATGGATGACACTTCATTTTCAGATTTTCACTGTGAATTACTTGCTTAGTTGGTACGTTATACAAAACATTTCTCCAACCAAATAAGTAATCTTCTGAGCAATATTTCAGACCAGAGCTAAAGTCAACTTGAAAGATGTCAGTCCATGTATTTTGGGATTGGGGGGTGCAGATGATTTCAAAATCCCGATGTGAGGTTTAAAAATTAAAAACAAGATGAAGAAACAAACAAAAACCTGCACAGTCTTATTTCAATCTCCATCCTCTTCTCCAATCTCTTTGTTGTCCTGCATAGGCTCTTCCTCGCCCTCCAAGATCTCAAAAGCGCCCGTTTCAGAGCTCCACATGCATTTGATTGTCACTCGGAACTCTGCCATCTCGATACCCAACAATTTCTGTGAAAAAACAAAAAACATTTCCATTTCTAAAAACAAATAGAAATCTTGCCATGACCTGACCAGAATACAATTGTGTAAAAACAATAAAATTACATACCCAACTGTCAAAACTACCACGCATCTAGTCGAGGACACGCACTTACAGTAGCTTGCAAAAGTATTCACTCCATTGAACTTTTTGCGACATTTCAGGCTTCAAACCAAGATATTTATCCCCCCACCCACACACACAAAAATCACCAGCAAGCGTCAAACAATTGTGAAGCGGAACAAAATTCTGATCATTCTACTTCATAATTGTGTTCTACTTGCTGCTGATTCGTCTCCCCAAAAAAATCCAACCTGTATTTTCAGTTTGATGCTGGCATTGTGGCAGACGGTCAAACAGTTAAAGAGGGCTGAATATTTTTGCAAGGCATTGCAGTTGTTAGGAGGCATACATGTCTGGGAGTATTAATGTATGCTCTGTTGGAATGTGTACTAACACTGTCGAAATTGTGCAAAGTTTAACTACAGCAGGATCAATCCTCGTGTCCTTAGTCCGTCCACTAATGGACTTTTGGTCCACAATTACTTGCGAAAATAATTCATAAATCTCTATTTTGTATTTCAACTTAAACTGAGTTTTACAAAACAGCTTGACACAACCATTTGGCCTCTTTTTTTGAAGACTCGTACACTTTCTACTTCTTTTTAGAAAGTTTGCTGCCATCATCTGGTGCTCCTAACTCCAATTTTTGCTCCCAACTGAGGACAATAATTCGACCGAGCAACAGCTCCTATCTTGAAAAACTCCTAAATTGGGTCACTTGTTCGTCAGGGTACCACATATTACTATTTTAACCATTATTTACAAGTGATAAATGCATTTACGAGCATTATTCAAATATATTAACATGTAATATTATTTACATTTTTTGTCTCCTATAAAAATCAATGTTCTCTGATAAACTTACCAGAATACGAGCCTGTTCAGGGGTGAGGACATCGCCGGCTTTGCAGACCGTGTAGTCCTTTAATAGTGTGACCACACCTTAAAAAAATAAAAGCATATAGTTTTTAAAATGCCGTAATCAATCAGACCGTGTTATTTGTTCCATGTTCAGATTTGTACCCTTCTTGAGCGTAGTGGGGAGGCCCAGCTGCCTCAGCTGAGGCTCCATGGAGTGAGTGAACTGCTCCAAAGGACCCTCGTCCAGAGTTACATCCATCTGAGCCCGATTTCCTGACCGAGCATAATCCGTCTCTCTGTAATGACTGAAATACCTGTAAGGAAAAACAAAGTGCAATCTGCATTTAATGAAGTCAACCTTGATTCACTCTAAAATATGTTGCCCCCATTATTTACTATGTTAGTTATGTGTGTGTGTGTGTGTGTGGGGGGGGGGCACAATTATACTTTGAGTTTTTTTTTTTAACAATTAAATGATAATTACACATCAGAGCTTGGCAGCTCTAATAACGACTTAAAAAATAACAATAAATTAATACCTGACAGAGTGCTTACTTACTCTTGCACTTCCTCCTTAGTTTTATTCGTGAAAAGCACTCCCACCTCACCTCGGAGATGCTTGCTGACCTGCAAAGAACATGACACAAGGATGAAACCATGATTGTGAACTGTCAGTCAATAGTTTAAATGTTAATATATTATTTCGACTGCTGATTCCTACCTGGCATAAGTTGTCCCTATATTCGTCGGTTTCTCCTTTCCCAATAGCAATTATCATGACTTTGTTTTTTCCAAAAAAAAATCTGTGGGGCAAGAGGAAAAAAATGTCACCTTTAAGAGTTTAATAAATTAAGACGATCAGGAACACTCCGGTCTTAATATGGACAAATATATACCGTTGAAAAAAATAAAAGTATTCAGTTTGTTCGTTTACATTTTTTTCTTTGGCTTTAAAACATTACCTGCTGTGTTTCCAGGCTGTCCTGATGTCCTTCAGTTTATTATTCCTCATGTTAGCCACAGAGAAGATGAACAAATATTTGTAGGTATCGACACATTTCCGTAACTAGAAGGCAAACGTAGAGCTGTGACTTAGACACTGCAGCGAACATATAGTGCAGTATACATTCGTGTGCAAACATTTACCTCCTCTATTAGTTTCTGTTTGGACTCGAGTCCCTTCTTGGCTGTTTTCGTCAAAGAAACTGTGGGAAAATCAAGAGAATGCCATTGAGAGAATCAGAAGAAAGTAACAATACTTGCACCACTAGCTAACATTAGCATGCTAAATTCCCATGTATTCACATTTGCCACTTCAATGGCTCATCTTACAAACAAATATTGCGAGGCAAGTTTCGAAATTTAAAGGCAAACGTTGCTTTTTCTTACTTTTCTTGTCCCTCTTCGACTTAGGCATGGTTGCTCCCCGCGATGCGCACGTGAAGTAAAAGGACCCCAAATGTTTCCCTCAAGTGAGGCTTGCCCAACTTGTGCCTGATTGAAAATCTAAAAAAAAAAGCATAATTATTCAAATTTGAATGTACAATTTAATATCTATTTGATGTAAGTGTGTGTGTGTGTTTGATAATTCTAAATGACACGTAAATTCAACGTCACTCTGTAACCTACTCAGCTAATGTCTTAATGATTTCAATTCTACAACGTCATTTCGCTTATTTGTGCGGAAAACGTAACCACCGCCCACCGCCTTATAATTTGCAGGATTTCTTCGATTTGCATGGACGTGTCAGACGCCATCTGCCTGAGCGAAAAGGAAATAAATACTTTTACTAACTCATTCAAGCGCCAGGGGGAGCTCGACTACACACGTGCACACATGCATGCATGTAGGACAGTGTACTGAACGTGTTTTAAAGTGTTTCCATTTTAATGTATTTAATTCTTATAATGTACCATGACTTCCGAGACAAAGGCTAGCAATAAATATCTGTCCTGTGATATTTTCAACTGATAATGTTTTAAAAATCACTGTTAAATGTGGGTGTTTAAAAAAGAAACGTACGATATTGTGCTTTCCTTCAAAAATCCCAGTTTGAGGCAGTTTAACAAAAAGGTAAAATATTTGATCGAGACGGTCAATACCAGAAAAAAAAATCCTCCGTGGTAAACATAGAAAGGTTGTTTACTATTTTAAAATATTTTTTTAAATAGAATGTTTGAAATTGATTAAAAAAGAAAAAGAAATACAATACAGACCTTAATTATAATGCACAGGGAATTGGAAAATCGCCCCTCCCATCCAGGGACAGCCCAACTATTCGATAAGGTCCTATTGAATAGACATACCTGAAAATCTGGACTCACCCCACACACCCATTTTTATATGCTTATATTTCTATTTTATTATGTATACATATATACGTTTTGTTCTTCTACTTCTCCCTTTCATAATGTTGCTGCTGTAAATTGGGAATTTCTCCATTGTGAGACAAATACAGGTTTTCTTATCTTAAATAAACTAAAAATAATTTCAAATATCACTTCAATGAGTAAGACTGGAAACAATCAAGTGATGTTCTGAACCTGAATTCTAAATTAAAATGTTGAAAAAGAAATACAAAATAATGTAATCACAATTGTTTTTACATCAAACTAAAAGCTAGCTCAATGAATACTACAATTTGCAGTTTATGAAAAGATCAAAAATGTTTATTGAATGTAAAAATATTTAACAAAAATAAGACCTACAAGAAAAAAACGCCTAATTTGTATTTCAAATTAATTAAAACTATCAAACGACTAATTTGTATTTCGAATTAATTAAAACTAGCAAAACGATCAGGGTGAATGTGGATCCAATATTGTGCATGTCCCAAGGCATCAGACAGGAAGTGAAGCGAGACTGGAGGAGGAGAAGGAGGGGGTGTGGCCTGGATGTGTGTGCGTGTGTGTGAATATATAGATATTTTTTTTCAAGCGGCGTGCAACATGATCTTTGCACGCCGCTCAGAGGAGAGGGTAAGCCGGCCTCTGCGGTGCCGTGGTGACCGCTTCTAGGGCACGGCAGACGGCTTAGAGGAGGAGAATGTGGCCGGTAGATGTGTGACGACTATTCGTACAAACAGGAGGAGCAGGACGGGGAGTTGTCGAGCTCGTCTGCGTCAAATGTGTTGACCCTCCACTGGATGGTGATGATGATGATGATGCCATCGGTGCCTTTTATTTGACTTTTTTGTTGTCGTTTTTTTTTTCTCGACATGAGCTCGCTATTCTTCCCCGATGCTGCACCCGCCACGGCCGGCAACGCGCCCTCGGCGTGCACCAACGCCCTGCGGAATGACCTGGGCTCCAACATCCACGTCCTCAAGACCCTCAACCTTCGCTTCCGCTGCTTCCTAGCCAAGGTCCACGAACTGGAGCGCCGGAACCGGCTGCTGGAGAGCCAATTGCAGCAAGCCCTGCAGAGGCCGCACTACCGCGGGCTGTACGGCCGCGACGTGACCGTGCAGACGGACGGAGGGGGCGAGTCCAGGCTGCCCGGCACTATCTGGTCCTTCACCCATGTGCGCAAGCAAGGGGAGCGCCTGGAGACGCTGAGCGGGCCCGGCGTGTCGTGGACGCACCCGGACGGGGTCGGCGTGCAGATAGACACCATCACGCCGGAGCTGAGGGCGATCTACAACGTGCTGGCTAAAGTGAAGCGGGAGAGGGACGAATATAAGAGGAGGTGAGTGACACACCAGTGAACGCTCTGACATCCAAAGCATACCACATCGTGCGTTATCTGAGTTATCTGTATCTATTAATTTGCGGGGAAGGGATGATAGCTTATGATTCAAAGCAGACCACATCATCTGTTATTTGTCTGTGGAGAGGAACAGTTAGTCACCTAGTGCGTAAGGTAAATAAAGACTTCCCTTATTGATGCATCCACCCCCCTCCGGGAAATACTCGCATTCAAAACAAGGAGTAACAGCTTATGATCCAAAGCATACCACAGAATGTATTATCAGCTTCTATGATGTGTTTCATGTGGAAAAACGTTTTTTTCCGAAGGAGATTTTGTTATAATCCGACAAAACCAAGGTTAAACTTTTTGGCCAAAAGGTATGTTTATTGCAAACACATCATGCTTTGGGGCCGTGTTTCTTTAGGTGGAACTGGGAGCGTAGTCAAGGTGTAAGGAAATATGAACAGTTCCTAATACTAGTCAGTGTACATACAAAACCCTTAGGCTTTTGAGAGAAAGCAAATAAAATATAAGGAAAAGCCGACAAAGAACTGCTGAACTTGATTTATTAAGGGTCACTAAAATGGTGGCAGATGTGTGCTGACTCCTACTGAATAGGAGTTCTCATGTGATTAGTGAATTCTGAACACATCTGTATTCCTGTAATAAGAAGGTGTGCATTATTGATAGGAGCTGAGAAGTTTTCCATTTTTTTATAGTCTCATTTTGTTTTTGGGATATCACAAGGAGTGTGTGTAGACTTTATACCCATTCTATCCATCATCCATCCATCCATGCATGCATCCATGGAGGTGAGTAGGTTATTTTTGTCCGTTCTGAAGAGGGTGTGATTGGCAGCAAAGTGTAATTAGGGACACCAGGGTCTTCTCTGTACATTGAAGTCAAAATGAGATATGACTCTTAAATATGGACACATTTTCCGTCACCTATGAAGAGTTTTCTTTCGGAATGAGCGTCCCGGGCTCACCCTATGGCGGGTGTCACCTGCGGTCCATTTGGCACGGGCTTGCCGGGAAGTGAGCCAAAGTGGTCCGTGCTGTGCATGTTTGCCGACATGATTCAAACAGGGAGGCATTTGAACAGTCTGTGAGGTCAGTGATGACCAATGCTGATTTCCCATGTAAGACTTTGACTCACTGACACAGAATGTCAGCATAAGCGCCCCCCCTTCATTTCCCCCCCTTATGGGAAACTGAATATCCTGTCCAGACCACTCCCTGAGTTCCACGAATTTTTTTTTTATCGTTGAATACTGTTTCGTGACCAAAAATGTGAGCCTGCTGGGACAAATGATTTGAACTGAATTGTGGTCATCCTCTTTAGTCAAATAAACGCTTCCCTCAAATAGATGCGTACACTTTATCAAACAAACAAGAAACAGAAAACTAATATACACTGCATCAATTTAAGACATTAAATGCCTCCCACAAATAGACGTCTCATGTTTTGCCTCCAGGAAAAAAGTAACAGAACATATCGAATTTTATAGATGGAGATTAAAGCATTAACTGTGCAACCCATTTCAAGTCGATTGTTAACCAACACAGCAGCACACATCTAAGCAATTAAAACATTCTTTCAGATGCCTAATTAAGAAGAAAAAAACAAGTGATTTTTTAATGGAAGGAACGTACTTCCTTATACACTGACCGTTTCTCTAATATACTGTGTGCTGTTTTTAGTGAAGCAAAATAAATGAGTCTCTCAAATAGACGCTTACATTTTTACCATGTGGTGGGGGGAGCAAAGCAATTAACTCAGGTGCTATTGTTCACAAAAAGACGTGATAGTTAACTGCAGAGCCCATTTGAACCCTGATGTTAACCAAAACATCAGCACCAACCAAGGGATGTAAAATAAGTCTCTCAGCTGCCTAAATAACAGAAAACCAACCAATTCTCCAATGGAAGTGTTGCATTTCCTCTAATAGTGTTCGCTCTTCAAATATACGTCACATACAGTTCCAAAAAGAAATGCCTCCCTCAACTAGATTTGTTTTTCATTCCATAGAACTGAGTAGCAAGAGCCTGCCCCTTTTCCAGGAGCCAACAATGCGTCCTCTCTGCTTTATTACGTCACTGCTCATTTTGTCCCTTTGCCTAAATCTTCTTTACTGCCGTCACGTTTCAGCCTTCAATACTCCTGAGAGACCCCCGCCCACCCACCTCTTTCTATTCCGTCGCGGCCCCGATGCTCCCAACTTTTTGTCCTTAGCCATTCCTTCCTCCTTCACCACAAAACCATCCCCTCCCCTAAATCCTGTGTCATGCGGGCTTGCTTTGTAAGGGATGCTCGGACCCGTTGCCTCATCCCCATGCCGGTGATTTATAAAAGCTTTGCTGTATGTGCAATGCACACTAGGCAATGGATGGATTGCATGCCTGGACTGTTTCAGGCCTGCATTTGTGCAGTGACGTATGAGCTTGTTTACTTTTCAGCACTTTTGGTCGCCTTGAAAATGTGAAGCACACTCACGGCACACAAGATGAGGTCCGCATGCAAAATCCGTTTTATTACGAGATTTCCACCGTCCCTCCCATTCCCCCACTTCATAGAAAACCCCTATTGAATATCTATTCGTGTTTTCTGAAGAATCTATTGGATTTGTAAAATTAAAAAAAATAAAAAATTATGTGTTTCTTTTTGGGAAAATGAATTCAGGGGCCACTCAGAGTGAGGTCGTGGACTGCCAGTTGCCCATCCCTGATCTAGAATGTCCTGTTGAGAGCAGGGTTTTCATCATCCTGATCGGATGGCATGGAGATTACAGAGAGAGAGAGCGAGAGAGAGAGAG